AGGCTTTAGACAAATTGGCAGCCTTAGAAAAATTCTGATATTGAACACTAGTAATACACAAGGCTGGCATTCTCCATTCGCAGCCCAGCTGAGCCAATTGCCAGAGCATATCCAGCTGTTCTTGGACTAAATCAATGCGCTGATTCACCACCATCAAACCACCCTTCAGCTGAGTATTCATGGACACCTGGTTATCCAAAGCTTGTGCTACTGAAGCAGAAAGCTCATTTAGAGCAGTGCCTGTTGTTACAGCCATATGCATGGCTATGCCAGCAGCGGTAGTGGCAGCCACACTCAACGAAAGAGCAACAATGACAGCTGCAGTAATACCAAAATCCCTTTTTGGTCTAAATAATGCCATGGTACTAGGGGCCTCTACAGGCACTGGTATCCAGCGAGGGACCCGTGCAATTAGGGCTCTGGAGAAGTTCCGAGCATCCCAACATTGTGACATCCAGCAGGTATCATTAGTGCAGTTAGAAAAGGGGTTATTGGAAAGAATAAACAAAAAAGGGGGATAAACACACACGGGGGTGGGCTTATACGAGATATTAAACAGGGGGGAAACCCCTTCTACTAAACAACCTGGATTAATACTACTGATAGCAGTAGGATTTTTAGAACTTGAAGAGGACTTTGTTCCCCATTGGCCCCAAGGCTTTGACCCGGACCAACTGAACTTGCTCAGCCCATGCATGCCTCCTCCCAACATTGCTAGGAGCTCCAGGTTCATACAGCTGCCATTAACCCCACATAGGAGCCAATTATCAAATGGGTTGGAAACATAAGCTTGAAGCGGATTCTGATCACTAAAATTAAACCCTGCAAATGAGGTATTGTATTTTGTACCAATACCAGGGGAAAAAGAAAAATATTTTCCTTTGCTTGCCCACTTGACTGTATGAGACTGGCACCCAGTCCAGGGCCATATTTCCCCCCAATTCATGCCCCAACAATAATGGGCCCATTTTGGTTGTCTAGGGGGTAAACCTTCTTCTCCTGTGGCTGGCCACCAACCTCGTAGCAGGGCCCGGGCGAATCTTCAGGTAAATCAAACCATCCTGCAGTTTGGTTATAAATAGGAATGCAGGGGGTGGTTACAGAAATATTATCGACTAGCTGAAAACAAAGAGTCCCTTCCAAGAAAAATGATCTATTCTCCTCCAGGGGGGCAATCTCAGAATCCAAAGGCAAAAAGGCTGCACCCATGCTCCTATTGCTACTAAACAACCTAGGAAACAATTTAGCATCATGATGGACTGGCATCGGTCTTGGGAACACGGACAGGATCCCCCATCTCTCCTCTGCTTTCCCCTGGGCCCATATCATCAGGAGCAGCAACAGACTCATCTTCCAGCGACTCGGATTCGGCCATGGGAACATCTTTGATGATTCTTGTCAGACGGGTTGGAACCCAATGCGGTGTTTCTTGATTCTGTGGAAAAACACAGACAACTCCCCTGGATCTCTTCACAACCGGATCCAGTCCGTACCATTTGTTATCAATGACATCTTTCCACATAACTGTGTCCTTTGTTTTTGTAGCTTTCTCTGACACATGTCGATCTGCAGCTGACTCATCAGCATCATTCAAAATTAAAAAATTAAGAATAAAGAGTGCAAGGGAAAGTCTTTCCCTGGGGGACGCTGTCTCAGCTATTCCCCCTTTTGTTTTTGAAGCATTTCTTTTAGGCTTTTATTGGCCCTTTCCACAATGCCCTGACCTTGTGGGTTATACGGCAGCCCCGTGGTGTGGGCTACCTGCATCTGGGCGCAAAAGGCACGGAAGCCGTGAGATGTATATGCTGGTCCATTATCTGTTTTTAGCCTCAGGGTTTTCCCCCAGGCTGCCCAGGCCTCCAGGCAGTGTATTTTCACATGCAAAACCCTTTCTCCTGCCAGGGGCGTGGCATGAATCACATCAGAGAAGGTGTCCACTGATACATGTAAATACTTTAGCTTTCCAAATTCTGTCAGATGTGTTACATCCATTTGCCAGAATGCATTGGGTCTTAGTCCCCTGGGGTTTACGCCCACATGATGGGGGTGAAGAAAGGTTACACAGGACTGACAGGCCTTTACAATTTCCCTAGCTGTTTTTCTAGAGATATCAAACTTCTTTCTAAGAGTATTGGCAGGCACATGATACAACCTATGAAAATCTCTTGCCAATTCAATAGAATCTGTTACAACCAGAGCCAGAGCTCGAGTTGCCCGGCCTGCCAAAGCATTAGCTTCAGACATAGGGCCTGGTAGCAAAGTGTGAGCCTGAATATGACCAACATAAAAGGGATATCTTCTATTTAAAATAAGGTCTTGAATTTGTAATAAAATATTAGAAACAGCACTCGTACTCTTGACAGAGGCTGCAACTTCAAGAGAGGCAACTGCATTTACTACATACTGTGAGTCAGAAAACAAATTAAAGGGTTCATCAAATCTCTTAAACACTTCCAAGACTGTCAGGCATTCTGTAACCTGTGGAACATCTGGTCGGAAAGTCAAAATCACTGGTTCCTGGCCTTGAACCACAAAGGCACCCTGGCCTGTTTTGGAGCCATCAGTGTAAATTGTCAAGGCGTTTGCCAAAGGCTCTTTTAAAGTAACAACAGGAAAATAAACCAAATCCTTTTCTACAATTGCAAGCAAGGGATGTTTAGGATAATGATTATCAATGAGGTTAGGGAACGTGCACATCAGGATTGCCCATGCATCCACAGTGGCAGCCAAGGTCTCTACTTGATCCTTGGTATAAGGAATGATCAATTTTTCTGGAATCCTCGCAAAATGCATCAAGCAACATTTTAAACCCCATAGCGCCTGATTTGCAACAAGCTCGGGAAAATATTGAATAGTTCTAGCCCCAACAGAATTACCATGAAGCCACCACAGGGGGCCATCCTGCCATAGGACCCCTGTAGGATAATTTTTTGTTTTCAAAATACATAATAAAATTGGCATGGTCAGATCATAACGATTTAACTGAGTTCTGGTCATTGCTTCCTCGACCTTTTCTAGGGATTTTAGGGCCAGCGGTGTCAACACCCAAGGAGATGTAACATCAGGATTGCCTTCTAGAATGGAAAATAAGGGCAACAACTCTGACTGGGGAACATTTAAATACCCCCTGATCCAATTGATATCGCCCATCAACTATTGAAAATCATTGAGTGTTTTTAACTGAGCCGTCCAGATAGAGATCTTTTGTGGCCTAATAACAGAGGGAGAGATAATGGCCCCCCAAAATTTTATTACTTGGGATTGTTGAACCTTATCAGGGGCAATGGTAAGTCCCCATTTAATAAGAGCAGAGGTAACCTCCTGGACAGCTTTATGGAGCACCTCCTGCGAAGAAGCAGTTAACAAAATGTCATCCATGTAATGGACGATCTGGACTAAAGGAAACTTTTGTCTAACAGGCACCAGGGCCGAATCCACAAACAGCTGACATATAGTTGGGCTATTGGCCATGCCCTGTGGGAGGGCTCTCCATTGGTAATGGGCATCTGGTTGCTCATGATTAACAGATGGCAAAGTAAAAGCAAACCACTCTCTATCCTCAGTGCAAAGAAGGATAGAGAAAAAAACAATCCTTGATATCTAGAGTCAGGACAGGCCAGTCGCGAGGCAGCGCAGAAAGCAGCGGAAGTCCCCTCTGGACAGCCCCCATAACTTTCATCTGGGCATTGACTGCCCTTAAATCATGTAATAGCCTCCATTTGCCCGAGGCCTTTCTGATGACAAAAATAGGTGTATTCCAGGGAGACACAGAGGGCTCAATATGGCCCAATTGTAACTGTTCCTTAATTAGTTCTCTGGCAGCTTCCAACTTTTCTTGTGAAAGGGGCCACTGAGGTACCCACACCGCCTTTTGAGTTAGCCAGGGTATGGGCACCGTACCTTCACTGGAAGCTCCTTTTTCAGCAGCCCCTAGGAAAAACCCAGTCCCTTTCGATCTGACTTAGGAACTGGCTCAACTGGTTCCTGACGCCTCTGGAGGCATCTGAGACGGGACATACCCTTGTCGTTTCATCATATTCTGACTGGCCTCTGAGAAATCATTAGTTAATCTAAGTCTTAATTGTTGTTGTACATCTCGCCCCCATAGATTGATGGGGACATCAAGCACAAATGGTTGTACAGTTCCCTTTTGGCCTTCCTCCGTTCTCCAAATCAATTCTTTTGCACTCACACATGGGGTGTTAGCATAGCCAAGACTTTGTAGAGTTTGGGAAGATTTTTATAGCGGCCACTGTTTTGGCCATGCTTTTATCTGAATAATGCTCCGATCTGCCCCGGTATCCACCAGACCAGGAAAATGTTTTCCTTCAATTTTTAAGAACAGCATGGGCCTCTGGTCTAATTCCATGGATAAGCATGCAAGGTTGACTCCTGTAGAGCCTAAGCCTGCATCTCCTCTTTCCTTTTGTAGTGAGGGGAAATTTCCGTGTTTTGAGGGCAAAATCAAGAGCTGAGCAATCCTGTCTCCTGGGGCTATGGAAACTACATCATAAGGTGCATGACAAAGGACCTTTATCACTCCAGTATAATCGGAGTCTATGACCCCAGGAAAGACTATCAAACCTCTCATAGTAGAAGAGGAGCGCCCCAAAACCATTCCTACAGTATCTTTATCTAAAGGCCCTGTCACATCAGTATCCAATATCTGTACTCCCATGGCCTGTGTTAAGACCAATCCGGAGGAGGCACAGAGGTCCAACCCTGCGGAGTCTGAGGTTGCCCTTCTGGCCTGAATGACTGTTGTAGGCTGGGAATGGGGGCCGGAGTTTGGGGTGCCCCATAGATTTGCGGGCCCTGGGGTCGAGGGCCCTCCCCCCGTTTTTTGGCTCCGGGTTTGTACTGGCAGGGGGAATGGGGTGTCCATTAATGTCTTTTACTGACCTGCATTCATTAGCCCAATGCTTTCCCTTTTTACATCTAGGACAGGTTCCTGGAACTCTCTGACTCCCTGGAAGGCCTTGCGGGGCAGCCTGAGGGCACTATCGCTTGAAGTGTCCTTGCTGACCGCATCTGAAGCAGCCCTTTCCGTTTCCGTCCTTAGCTGCCCCAGTGGCCGACAGGACAGCTGCAGCCAGGCCTGCATTGGTCAAGGGACCGCCCACCTCTCTGCAAGCTTTTACCCAGACTTCCAAGTCTTTGTCCTTGACCGGTGTTATTGTTCTCTGACATTCGTTTGTGCTTTGTTCAAAGATAAGCTGTTGCACTAACGGCATGGAGGCATCAAGATCCCCAAAAACACGCTCTGCCATCTTGATCATGCGAGTGACAAAATCAGAGAATGACTCGGCCGTGGCTTGGATAATCTTAGTGAGGCTACCGGCCATCTCGCCCTTATTGGGAATTGCCCGCCAGGCTTTATAATAAATTTCATTTATTTGCCTGTATACTTCCCAGGGATAATTTGTTTGATCAATGGCCCATTGCCCTTGGCCAAGAAGCATATCCACGGTCCAATCAGGCTGTCCCTCCTGCACGTTTCTCTTGTATTGGGCCTGAGCTTTGTCCATAATTATGGATCTAAAATCAAGAAACTGCCCATGGTTGAGACACATGCGGGCGAGTTCCAGCCAATCGTTAGGCGTCATCGCATTAACTGTGAGCCTGCGTAGCAAAGCTGTTGTAAAGCGGGCGGCTACTCCATAAGTGCGTACTGCCTCTGCCAAGTCCTTTATCTGTTTGTAGGAGATGGGCTTGAAATATCTCTCAAATGTAACAGCGTTTTCAAAAACTGGGAACGCAGCCGCCAAGCGGGACCAGGTTTTTCTTTTTATAAAGTGACATTTCCCAGCCGCCGGAGAATATGGCGGGGGTGCCAAAGGTGTAGTCTCCTTTCTACCTTCAGCCACAAGAGGTCTCTGCCGCCCATATTTTTTTTCCTCATACCTCGCGGTCGTTTCCTCCAAAACTTTGTCTTTAGGATCTAATTCTTCTTCTAACTCCAAGTCTGATTCCGAGTCTGATTCCCCCTCTGACTCTCTGTGAGGTTCCCTATCACTGGACTCCTCATCTGTTATTTTTAAGCTTATAAATTCGTCCAGGGTCGGATAAAAGCTGTCTTGCCGCCCTGGCTCTCTCCTCTTTCTCCTGTGCTATTTCTTTAAAGGACTCAAACCTGTCCTCTTCGGTACCTTTTTTAGAGCTCTGAGGTTTTTCTTTAATTTTATCTTTTTTCTTTTTAGGCCTAACTATATCCTCCTTTCTTGTTTCTGACTCTGAAAGGCTATCTTGGTGTTGCATCAGTACTCGTCTTCCTGCCCTAATGATGTCATGATGACGATCGTCCCTGAGACAGGAGCGCACAAGCCGCCAGGGAGGCAGGGTGCCCTTCCCTATCCTGTCTTCCTGTTTCGCTCTCTCTAGATCCTTTCCAAGCTTATTCCAGGAAGCCAAATTAAGGTCTCCTGACACCACGAACCATGGTGCAATCTTATCGATGTCTTTAATGATCTTTTTTATAGTACCTGCGGAGATCTTTAAGTCGCGTTGATGGAGTAATGCCTGTAAGGGTTCATGAAAATTGGCAGCATCTGCGCCAGCCCCCTGCATGTTGCCCATGGCACACTCTTATCTGCGAGCGAGTTTATCCATGGGTAGAGAAGGCAGCACAAAGGCAGACTTCTCTCTTGAAAAGCTGCATTATCTACCGCGGACTTACTTTCGGTTTTAAGCAAAACCTCCCGCGCTACTTTTCAAGAAAGCACCGACACTCCCTTCCGGGTTCGTCACAATGTAAGCAAAGGCAACAGGCAAGAATTAGAAGTACCATAAAGGGAAAGACAAAAGCGATCACCCAGAATTCCACCCCAGTAGTCAGCATTCCTGGAGATACCAGCTGATACTTACCGACCTCTCCTCTCCGTGTGTTGAGTTCTGAATCCTCTTCAGCCCCTCGCTCGGTGTCCGAATTGTCCCGGGTTTCGGCACCAGTTGCGGCGGTCTCCTCTTGACCAGCGAGAAAGAACAACCACCACTCAAGGATTCTTCTCAGATCACACTTTATTGGAGAGCCTTTGGTTAAGGGAGAGCTGGAAGCGAGGGGGGAGCACTAAAAGCAGCTGCTTTATATAGGGAAAAGAGGCGTGGATCACTGGCTGAAATTAGCTTGCCATCACCAGGCACCACAGGATTGGTTAGAGACCAATATATAGCCTGCACTTGTGCAAAGCTGAGGCGCGTATTTTGTCGAAAGCATTGTCTTAGAAGTAATAAATCTTCAGAATGCAAGGAAGTCAGCACCATCTTATAATGGCGATTGTCCCAGCTCCCTGCAACTGTGTAGCCCTACCTCTCCTAGAACTTGCTCTGTATACCAGGCCTGCTTCAAACTCATAGATGTGCCTACTCTGCCTTCTGTGTTTTAGAATTAAAGGCATATCTTACTACTGTTGGGCAAAATGTAAACAACATTTTGAAAAATCATACACAATAGATTCTGTTGAGGGATATTTGTGTACCACTGTGATTGGTTTAATAAAATGCTAGGCAAGAGAAGTTATGTGGGACTTCTGAGCAGATAGAAGAACTCAGGAGATAAATCTAGGCATGTGGGAGATGCCTTCATGACACTGAAGAAGTCAGACATACAGTATGGAGGAGAAGTTATAAACCATAAGGCAGAATATAGCTTAATATAAATGGGTTAATTAAGCCTTAAGATCTAGTCAGGAACAAACCTAAACTAAAGTCAAGCTTTTATAATTAATAAGAAGTGTCTATGTCATTATTTGAAGGCTGGTGGTCCAAACAAAGTTCAACAGGAAAAACAAGTCTGCTACATTTGGCATCCAACTTTTGGCATGCATATTCAAGCATAGAGCAGCTGGCATGCTACCTGGCAGGAGACTAGATACAAATGTCTGTTGCAGTGCAGACACAATATCTTCCAAGACCTGGAGCAGTTAGGTATGCTTGGGAGGATTATGCATGGCTACTGCAGCTTGTAGACCCAAAGTGGGTACAGCCAGCTGCCAGCACCATGTGCTAAGCAGAACTGTGTTGAAGGTAGCCTGACTGTTTAAGGTTTGGTTCACATGGTCAGCGAAAGTTGCAGGCACTTAGTAAAGCCAGGTGTAGACCAAGAAAACCTCTAAACACGTATAGTATGCTGAAAATGTGCTTAAATACTGAAGAAAGAAGAGAATATGAGTAAAGATAGTCATGGAAAAAACAGTTTAAGCTAGGTAAAGATGGGAAGTATTACAACAACGGGAGTCTGGATCATACATGCTAATGAACAAAAATGGTGGCTGGTGAGAGACATTGGATTGTAGAAAAACTGCTAAATTAAAGCAGCCTTGTAGTGCTTTAAAAGAAAATGGCCCCCAAATGGACTGGCACTAACAGGAGGTGTGGCCCTGTGGGAAGAAGTGTGTCACTGTGAGGTCTATTTTGCTCAAGCTTCCCACAGTCTGTCAGTTGACTTCCTGTTGCCTGCAAGTTATAGCACTCGCAGCTCCAGTACCATATCTTCCTGTACACTGTCATGCTCCATGTCATGATGATAATGGGCTGAACTTCTGAAACTGTAAGTAAGCCACCCCAATTAAATATTTTCTTTATAAGAGTTGCCATGGTCATGGTGTCTCTTCATAGTAATAGAAACCCTAACTAAGACAGAAGTTGGTACCAGAAACTGGAGTATTGCTGTGATAGGCCTGACCATGTGTTTGGAGGAATTTGACTTTGGTACTTTGGGTTGTAAAAAAACATTGGAATGCATTAAGCACTGCTTAATAACCCATACTAGTAGGAGCATTGAATACAGGGTTACTAAGAGTTATTTGAATTGTTGGGGGCTCACTAAAGATGTTTCAGAGGAGAAAATTTTAGTATGTTTCTTAGAGATCATTCTTGTGTTATTTTGGTGAAGAAAGTGGCTACCTTTTGCCCTTGTCCTGCCTGAGGCTAAAGTGAAGAACTTTGGATTAATTCTATTTGTAGAAGAAATATCAAAATAGCCTAGTGTAGACTCTATTGGGTGGATATTAGTGGGAACTCTAATAAAGATTTATAATGAAGCGGAGCAGGGTAAATTATGAAAAGTAAATTTTGAAGAGGAAAAAGAGCAGCAGAAAGTAGATTAGAGATAAATTCTGCATTCAAGGAGATAAGTGGATTAAGAAATGGAATAAAGGGAGTAGTGAACTCAGGGCAGGATCCTACCCATCTAACTTTCCAACTAGTGAAAAGAAACTACAGAAAAAGTTAGAGGTGTGTGTGGTGGGGTACACCTTTAATTCCAGCACTGGGAAGTCAGAAGCTGGTGGATCTCTGAGTTTGAGGCCAGTGTGGTCTACAGAGAAAGTTCAAGGACAGTCAAGCTTGGGCAGTGAAGGAAAACAGAGAGCTAGTCAAGATGTAATTAGACAAGGGGGCTGCATTCCAGCCACAGCAAGCAGCAGAACTTTGCAGCTTTGCTCACATGGCTCTGGATTAGGAGTTAAGAATAGAAGAAAGGAGTAATAAAGCTGCTGAGGCCATGAAAGAATTTTCCCAGGGGCCTGCCCCAAGAAGATTCTTCCCAGAATCCTGGGGAAGATGCTATGGCTGGAGATGGGGTAATCTGAGGGAATAGAGTCTAAGCACACCAAGTTTTTTCATCTGTTTACTTTATTTCTCTAAGACAAACTTCTATCTACACAGCTTCAGTTCCATTCTGACACTCAGTTCCTCTCTGTTCCTTCTTTTTCTGTACTCTCATAGACTTAACTAAGCTCTTACTTTTTCAATCTCATCTTTGTCTTCAGCTTCCCCATCCATGCTCATTTCTTCTCTTCCTACTCTCCTGACCCAACCCAATCATTACGCTCTACAAAAGCTCTGCCTTGTCCTCTATTTCCATGGCCATGCAACTCTGCTCAGTCAACAAACACATGGTCAGGCCTATCACAGCAATACCCCAGTTCCTGGTACCAACTTCTGTCTTAGTTAGGGTTTCTATTACTATGAAGAGACACCATGACCATGGCAACTCTTATAATGAAAATATTTAATTGGGGTGGCTTGCTTACAGTTTCAGAAGTTCAGCCCATTATCATCATGACATGGAGCATGACAGTGTACAGGAAGATATGGTACTGGAGCTGCGAGTGCTATATCTTGCAGGCAACAGGAAGTCAACTGACAGACTGTGGGAAGCTTGAGCAAAAAGGAATTCTGCTCCAGTCTTTACTGCATCTGGGTATGCAAAAAATTCTTTTTTTCTTGAGTCAATAGCTCTGGCATGCCAGTAGACCTGAAGGAAAAGGATGGTTTGACTGTCATTTGCACAAGAAACAAAGCTATGCATCTACAGTCAGGCTGTCTCCTAGTTTCTGTATGGGTCTTACCTAGTTCAGAACAGTAGTAGGTCTGAGAGGCTTATACTGTTTGTTGTTAAGGTCTGGTAGTATATTAGCACACAAGAAATTCACAGCTGATATGTTAAAAACTGAATAACACCAAATATTCCCTGATATATGGTTTTCCTCTAGAAAGATTCCTTGACCTTTGTAGGTATAGCTTTATTATATACTGCTGAATCTCTATAATATATTCTTGTGGCTTGCAGCCCCAGGCATGGATGAGGGGTGTCCCTGAATGGAGGCCTAGAGAGTCCATTGTGTGAAGCTATGAAGCTGAAGCCTGGATTTCCTTGGAGACCCCAAGATGTTAAAGATACCAGAGTATTGGGATACCTGCTGATGAAAGCTGCTAATAGGGAGTGAAAAAAACCCAAGAGAAAGAAGTATGTTGCAGTCAACAGGAAATGACTGGAGTTGGAAAGCTGAAGAGTGTTTTGATATCAGACATGGAGTTGCAGAGTTTGTAGTTTGCTGAGCTGATTTTAATCTTACTTTGATCTAGTATTTCCTCACTATATTTCTTTCCTTACATTTTGAGATGGTAATGTATTTCCTGTGCCATTATATGTTGGAAGTATGTGATCTGATTTTGATTTGATTTTTATAAGTGATTACAGTTAAGAGATCGCCATGCATCTCAGAAGAGACTCTGACTTTGAAATGACTTTGAGACTGTTATAGGTTATGGGGTCTTTTGAAGTTGGACTGAATGCATTTTTCCATTATGATATGGCTATCAGTCTTTGTGAGCCAGGGAGTGGAATGTGGTAATTTGAAAGAAAATGGACCCTAAAGGGAGTGGTACTATTAAGAGATATGACCTTATTGGAGGAAGTGTGTCACTATTGGGGCAGGATTTGTGGTCTCTTTTGCTCAAGCTGTTGGATAAGTGACGGTGCTCATGGCTGGCTGCTGCCTGCGGTGGCCATGCTGACTACTGGATGCTGTGGTGGCAGAAGAATCACGAGCCATGGTT